AACCCGAAAAACCTTAACCCGACCCTAAGCGCAAAAGCCTTGAAGCCGGACAGAACCCGGCCTTGGGTCGAAGCCGGGGTTCTGGGATTGTTTTGGGGGGGTTTGGGGGGTTTTTGTTGGGGGTTTGGGGGGTTTGGGTTTTTGGGGGCGTTGGCGTTTGTTTATTTATTGGGGGGTTTGGGGTTCAGGGTGTTGGGGATTCGGGTTTTTGGGGTTTGGAGGTGTATGGGCCTGAAGGGTTGTGTAGGGTAAGTAGGGGGTATGTAAGGGATCCCTTTTAAGGGCCCACACTAAGGGACCATGTATCTACCCGAAGACCCTAGAACCCTACATCCTGCACCTGTGAAGTTGGCTTACCCTAGAAACTCCTAAACCCTAAACCCTAAACCCTAAACCCTAAAAACTCCCTACATCCTGCACCTGTGAAGTTGTGACAGCCAGGTGATCCAGGCCGTCAAGTCGGCCTTCGGCGGTGTCCTCTTCGTTGACGAGGCCCTGGTGGGTTTAGGGTTTAGGGTTTAGGGTTTTTTAGGGTTTATTAGGGTTTAGGGGTTAGGGTTAGGGTTTATAGGGTTTATGGGGTTTAGGGGGTTTATGGGGTTTATGGGGTTTATGGGGCTTATGGGGCTTATGGGGTTTATGGGGTTTATGGGGTTTATGGGGTTCATGGGGGTTATGGGGGTTATGGGGGTTATGGGGTTTATGGGGTTTATGGGGTTTAGGGTTTAGGGGTTTGGGGGGTTTAGGGTTTGGGTTTAGTGTTTGGGGCTTCCAAGGCATCTCTTGGATGCTATTTCTTTGACTGGGCGTAAGTAAAAGGATCTCATCCAGGAACAGCCAAGCGAGGCCCTCATGCTACCTATTTAAAACCTTAAATCCCAAGCCGCAACCCTAAACCCTAAACCCAAAACCCAAAACCCTAAACCCACAACAGTGCTAAAGAGGGGTACATCTCAAAGGCCCCTCGAGCACCCGCAAGGCCTATTCCATCGTCCTGGCCGACAACGACCCGCCACAGGGCCCTAAAGATCTTCATTGTCAGGTTTTACGGTTTAGGGTTTAGGGTCTAGGGGTTTAGGTGTACCTTCTTGGGGTCCTTGTTGTATTCGTAAACCTCCACATGCACGGGGAGCTGTAGTTCTCTGGACACTCGCAACCTTAAGCCCGAAAGAGCCTCCGACAGTTTAGGGCTGAGCCTTGATGCCTCAAACACCGACCACCGGCCCACAGAACCCCGTTTGAGCGCTGAAAAAACCGAGGTTCGGCAAAGAAGCCGTTGACACGCTCATCAAGGAGAGCGCCGAAGTTGGGTTCAGGGTTTTCCGGTGGAGTGGCTCAGGGCTTGCTGTGGTGGAACCTTGTGGGCCTTGTAACCCCGAAAGCCCCAACGCCCTAACGCCCTAAACCCTAAACCCTAAACCCTAAACCCTAAACCCTAAACCCGAAACCCTCGACCCCATCCTAAAGATCGCAGGAGATTGAGGACAACCGGGACAAGGTGATCGTCATCTTCGCGGGCTACCAGAAGGCCGACCTAGCCGTTCGGGGTTTAGGATTTAGGGTTTAGGGATTAGGGCGTGGGGTTTGGGGTCTAGGGCTTGGGGTTTCAGGTTTAGGGTTCAGGCTGTCTAGACACCCAAAGCTTCAACTGAGAAGGCCTTGTGGCTGTTGTTTCTGCTGGTCCGGTTCCCTTCTCAGCCCGGCGCCCCATGAAATTTAAGAGCCTCCGGCTCAAGCCGCCGACCCCGCTGGAGCATAGTTGAAAGGTTTAAACGCGCTCTCAGCTCAAATAATCCAAAAAAGTTGATGTGCTTGAGCCTCTGTGAAACGTTGGGACCCAAACAGGAGCTGAAGCCAGCTTGAAGGGGGGGGGGGGGGGGTGGGTGGGGGGGGGGGGGGTGAGGGGGGGGGTACGGGGGGGCGGGGTGGGAGGGGGGTGGGCAGGGGGGTTGGGGGCGGGGGAGGGGGGGGGGGGGTAGGGGGTGGGGCGGGGGAGGGCGGGGGCAGAGGGGGGGGTGAGGGGTGCGGGCGGGTTTTTTCCGAAAGGGCCCCTATGTCCTGTGGTGCGGGCGGGTTTTTTCCGAAAGGGCCCCTATGTCCTGCGCGAAACCGCTTATGGTTCGTGAGTTGATGCGGTGTGGGTGGCCTGGCCCTCCATGGAAAAGCTGCCCGGGTACCCCCTACCCGCGTTTCCCATCCAACACGCCGCCAGGGTCGGCGGATTCAAGAGGCTTCTCCCTTGTTACCCTAAAACTCTAAACCCGAGGCTCTAAACCCTACATCCTAAACTCGCACCAAAGTGAAGCAACCCCAAGAACAACAGCTGCCTCAACCCATAAACATCCCCCAAAGCTCCTAAACCCTAAGCCCTAAACCCTAAACCCTAAACCCTAAACCCTAAACCACTCTTTCATATATAATATAAATGTTAATGGCTTTGCGGGCAAGGTCCGAAAATTAGTGGACAAGGTCCGAAAATTAGCGGGCAAGGTCGGAAAATTAGCGGGCAAGGTCCGAAAATCAGCGGGCAAGGTCCGAAAATCAGTGGGCAAGGTCCATTGGCTGCCCCACGACCTTGCCCACTAATTTTCGGACCTTGCCCGCTGACCCACCACCTTGCCCACTGATTTTCGGACCTTGCCCTTGCCCGCTAATTTTCGGACCTTGCCCGCTAATTTTCGGACCCGGAAAAGGCCCGAGAATTAGCGGGCAAGGTCCGAAAATTAGCGGGCAAGGTCCGAACTTACCGAAAATTAGCGGGCAAGGTCCGAAAATTAGCGGGCAAGGTCCGAAAATCAGTGGGCAAGGTCCGAGAATTAGTGGGCAAGGTCCGAAAATTAGCGGGGCAAGGTCGGAAAATTAGCGGGCAAGGTCCGAAAAATAGTGGGCAAGGTCCTTGCCCCACCCCCCCCCCCACGCCCCCCCCACCCCCCACCCCCCTTGCGCCCCACCCCCCCCCCCCCCCCCCCCCCCCCCCCCCCCCACCCCCCCCCACCCCCCCCCACCCCCCCCCCCCACCCCACCCCACCACCCCACCCCCCACCCCACCCACCCTCCCCCCCACCCCCCCCCCCCCCTTCCCCCCCCTTCCCTTCCCCCTTCCCCGCCCCCCTTCCTCCCGCAACGGGTGTTGGTCAGTTGAAAACGTGTCTGACTTGGGTAGGTAAAACTCTTTGGGGTAGGATGAAAACCTTATATTTTCTTAATGTTATGGGATTCTTTGGGCGGGTGGGTTTTTTTTCCGTTGCCTGAACACACTACTGGCCTAGTAAATGCTCGAACTTGAGATGCTGAACCCTAAACCCTAAACCCTAAACCCTAAACCCTAAACCCTAAACCCTAAACCCTAAACCCCAAACCCCAAACCCTAAACCCTAAACCCTAAACCCTAAACCCTAAACCCTAAACCCTAAACCCTAAACCCTAAACCCTAAACCCTAAACCCTAAACCCTAAACCCTAAACCCTAAACTCTACCCATGCCTTCAGGAGATGGACACCTTCTTTGAAACGAATCCCGGCTTCCAGTCTCGGGTGCCCTTCCGCTTTGAGTTCACGGACTACAGCTGCCAGGAGCTGCAGAGCCCAGCGGGGTTTAGGGTTTAGGGTTTAGGGTTTAGGGTTTAGGGTTTAGGGTTTAGTGTTTAGGGCTTAGGGTTTAGGGTTTAGGGTTTAGGGGCTTAAAGTCTTAGAGTTCAGGGTTTAGGGTTTAGGGTTGAGGGGCTTAGGGTCGTAGGGTTCAGGGTTTAGGGTTTCGGGTTTAGGGTTCAGGGTCCGAGCACAATTTCATCCTAGTTTAACCCTACGCCCCCCCCAAGCCCTATGCTCATGCCGGAAAGCCCAAAGCCTGCCAAGGGGTAAACCCGAAACCCTAAACCCTAAACTCTAAACTCTAAACCCAAAACCCTAAACCCTAAACCCCTAAACCCCTAAACCCCTAAACCCTAAACCCTACTCAGACCCAAACATCATGGGGAGGAGCTGGTGGCCATCAGCCGATACTCCTCCCGGAAGAACGACGCCACCCGGCTTACCGGTCAGGGCTTTTAGGGTTTAGGGTTTAGGGTTTTAGGGTTTTAGGGTTTTAGGGTTTTAGGGTTTTAGGGTTTTAGGGTTTTAGGGTTTTAGGGTTTTAGGGTTTTAGGGTTTTAGGGTTTTAGGGGTTTAGGGTTTTAGGGTTTTAGGGTTTTAGGGCTTTAGGGCTTTAGGGTTTTAGGGTTTTAGGGTTTTAGGGTTTCAGGGTGTAGGTTTAGGGTAAGCAGGCTTCGGGCTTCAGGGTTTTTAGGGTAAGGGTTTGGGCTCATAAGGGCTTGTAGGGTTAGCGTTTCAGATCAGAGTCGTGTATGTTCAAGGGCGTCATGATTGCTTGGGGTGTTCAGATTGATTGATTAGTGTTGAAGAGTTTGGGTACAACTTATTTTCTTCCTTCGGGACTACCTTAAAAGTGGTTGGCTGGGATGTAGCTGCTGTTGCCGTGACAAGCGTCTTGACGCCACGTTTCATCAGTGTTTAGGGTTTACGGCTCAGAGTTTTGGTTCTGTGTGTGTGTGTGTGTTGTCCTTCACAATTGTTGGCTTGATCTGCTTGTGGCACATTCTGCTGGCCAGGAGCCAGAAGTCGCAGGCCCCGGCCCAAACGCCAAGGACAGCGCTCACCAGTCTTCACTTCTCACCGGAACCCAACACCATGCTATTAAGCATAATGTTCAGGAAGATTCAACGCGAGCTTTGAACATCTTGGTTTAAACAAGAGCTCTAGTTGTGTTTCCTTTGGGGGGTTTCTTCAGGTGATCGTTCAAGTCTAAGCCATAAAGATCTTACTTGCTTATGAGTTTCTGTTCTTTGAAACGGCTTCGAAATTGTTAAATTCCACAGACTCGGGTTTTGGGTGTATAATAGGGTTTAGGGTTTAGGGTGTTTGGGGTTTTCAAAGCCCAGGTGAAGCCAACGACTGAGGCGGTCGAGTGGTTGGAGCCGCTTGACCAGTTCTGCACAGAAGTTTGGAAGCCCTCAACCTCTCTGAGAGGGGTTGAGGGACAGTCTGCTCCTAGGGTGTTGGGATGAGGACTGAGCTCATAGTAAACCCGAAACCCTAAACCCTAAACCCTAAACCCTAAACCCTAACCCTAAACCCTAAACCTAGACGTTTCCACAAGTGACCCGCGGAATTCTTCCAAAACAGTGGTTTCGCTCGACGCCTCTGCATTTTGGAAGGGTTGTGTTTGAGGTTTTTGTATTTTATGTTTTATGTTTTTGGGGTTTCGCTCGGGTTTTTGGTCAAAATGTTTGTGCCACTTCAGGTGCTGCCCTCAGTACTTGCTGTTGAGTGAAATAACATAATGATACAGTAAAAGTATACTACGATGATTACGTTCCTGTTACCAGCACATCCATTCTCCAGAGTATCCGCCGCAGGATGAATACGTTCGTGTTGTCAGCACATCCATTCACCAAAGCATTCATGCCCACACCATGATTACGTGCTTGTTACCAGCGCATCCATTCCCCAAAGCATTCATGCCCGCACCATGATTACGTTCCTGTCACTGGCATCACTGAGGCAGTCCGGCGGCCCTGAGACACTAGCTCGGACACTTCTTGAAGAGCCGCTGGGAGCACCCGAAAACGACCGCAGCCTAAGTTGGACAGCCAAAAACGAGCTTCCCGCCCGAAAAAACGCGGGAAAAACGCGGGCCAGCTGCGGACACACCCTAGGCCCTAAACCCTAAACCCTAAACCCTAAACCCTAAACCCTAAACCCTAAACCCTCAGCCCTAAACCCTAAACCCTAAACCCTAAACCCTTTCGATCACCACCTCCGACATCCGCAACTTTGCCTCGCCAGTACATCTCAAGCCTCTGAGGAAGATCATCACCGCAAAAACTGGCTGCTGCACCGAGGCGACAAGTTGCACGTGGATTTAGAGCTTCAGGGTTTAGGGTTTAGGGTTTAGGGTTTAGGGTTTAGGGTTTAGGGTGTTAAAAGGGTGTTGGGATAAGAGTATCACTTGGTATAACAGTCCTTAGTAGGGATTATTTTAGTAGGGGGGTACCTTTGCTGGCCTAACTTATGAACCCTAAACCCTAAAACCTAAACCCTAAACCCTAAACCCTAAGCCCTAAGCCCTAAACCCTAAGCCCTGGCACCTAATGAACCTGAAGGGTGACGTCTGGGCTCCAGCGCGCCTGTGTGTTGATTTCCCACCCACACCAAGGCGAAATGAAGAGAAGAAGTGAGGGTTTAGGGGTATAAGTTGTGAGGAGCTTGCTTTAGACACTCTTAAGGCTCGCAATACTTCCCCCTAAGATGCAAAACGCCCCCCCCCCCCCCCCCCCCCCTCCTGGCCCAAAACCCACCCTACACCCTACACCCTACACCCTACACCCTACACCCTACACCCTACACCCTACACCCGACACCCTACACCCTACACCCTACACCCTACACCCTACACCCTACACCCTACACCCTAAACCCTAAACCCTAAACCCTAAACCCTCAGCCCTAAACCCTAAACCCTGGGACTTTTTCAGCCTCCAGAGAGGCCGAGCTGGAGCAGGGCCAATGCGCCGGCGCCACGCGGGACAACGGCCGCGGGCTCGGCATTTTTTGCTGGGCAGTCCAGGCTTCAGGGGCTTTTGAGAGCCAGAAGAGGGTTAGGGTTTAGGGTTTAGGGTTTAGGGTTTAGGGTTTAGGGTTCAGGGTTCAGGGTTTAGGGTTTAGGGTTTAGGGTTTACAAAAAAACAAGGGCTTTAGCAAACCCTCTTCTGCTAGGGTTCAAAGGGGGTTAAGGGCTCAAGGGGTTAAGCGTTTAAGGGGTTTCGGCCTTTTTGGTTCGTGGTGCTTGCTTCGTTGCACAGGGACTGCGCAAGCTGTAGGGCCCTACGCCCCAAAACTTAATGGACTGAGGCTGTGAGCTGTAGAGTTTTAGGACGCTTCTATTCCGCCTCCGGCCGCAAAAACCCTCACACCCGCTCGCGGCCCCTCTCCTTTCAAGGCAATGGCCGGGCCGTGCGCAACATCCTGGAGTCGGCCATGAGGGCCATGTCGGTGCGCGTCGTGGCGCAGAGGAAGGCCCACTTGCATCCTAAACCCTAGTAAACCCTAAACCCTGAACTCTGAACCCTAAACCCTAAACCCTAAACTCCTAAACCCTAAACCCTTTCCGTGGATTTGGAGCCCTAAACCCAAAACCCTAAACCCTATTCACTTCCCCTATACAACCCCTATATATACCTTATAGAGCCCCTACATACCTCAGTAGCCCCTACATTACCCCGAAGGTTCCTTCTAAGGTTCCCTCCTTTGGTCCCTGGAGTGCAGGGCTTTCTGGGCTAAAGGGTTTAGGGTTTAGGGTTTGGGGTTTAGGGTTTAGGGTTTGGGGTTTAGGGTTTAGGGTTTGGGGTTTAGGGTTTAGGGTTTAGGGCTGTGGGCATGGCTATTGCCAAACCGGACACCATCGGGCACCGTAGAAGAGACCCTAAACCCCAAACCCCAAACCCTAGATCCTAGATCCTAAACCCTAAACCCTAAACCCTAAACCCTAAACCCTAAACCCTAAACCCTAAACTCCAAACCCTAAACCCTAAACCCTAAACCCTAAACCCTAAACCCTAAACCCTAAACCCTAAACCCTAAACCCTAAACCCTAAACCCAGCCTCCCCAAGGCTCTAGGTTCAGAGGCTTCGGTCTCGCGAAGAGGATTTGGATTTCGGGGGTCGAGCTCGGGTTCAGGGTTCAGGGTGGGGGGAGGGGCCTTCCCCTCAACGCTTACCCAAACCTTGAACCCTAAACCCGAAACCTTAAAACCCTAAGCCCTAACCCTAAACCCTGAACCCTGAACCCTTAGCCCTCAACCCTAAACCCTTGTCAACACCCTAATCCCTTGCCCCGCTTGCAGGGCACCACTGACGCCGCCACGGAGCTCACGGACGTGGATGTCGCTGCCGTCGGTGGTGAGGCATGCGAGCAGTCATGGCACCCTGAAGACGTAGGGCTGTTTAAGGTTTAAGGTTTAGGGTTAGGGTTTAGTGTTTAGGGTTTGGGTCTAGGGTTTAGGGTTTGGGGTTTAGGGTTTAGGGTTAGGGCTTAGGGTTTAGGGTTTAGGGTGTAGGGTAGCTGAGCTCATCAAGAAGATAGCATGAACCAAGTTTGCTAAAGTTCGCTCGCTAGGAGATCGGCTTTGAACACGGAGACCTACATACAGCAAATGTTTCAATATTTCCTACGCAGAAACAAACCCCAAGCCCTGAACCGAAAAAAACATTCCTACACTTGAAAAACCCTAAGCCCCGAACCCTAAACCCTAAACCCGAAACCTTAAACCCTAAACCCTTGAACTTGGGCCTCCAGTGATGCTTTGAGGGTGTAGGGCTCGGGGTGTCGAGGAGATCGGCGTGGCCACGCGGGGGACTTGCAAGGCCGGTTTAGGGTTTAGGGTTTAGGGTTTAGGGTTTAGGGTTTAGGGTTTAGGGTTTAGGGTTGAGGGATCTCCCCCGCATGTGCGGGTTGTTTTGGCTTGGCATGGGCTCTGAGGTTCAAGGTTTAGGGTTTAGGGTTTAGGGTTGAGGGTTTGATTAGGGTTTAGGGTTTTAGGGTTTTAGGGGTTTAGGGTTTTAGGGTTTTAGGGTTTTAGGGTTTTAGGGTTTTAGGGTTTTGGGGTTTTAGGGTTTTAGGGTTTTAGGGTTTTAGGGTTTTAGGGTTTTAGGGTTTTAGGGGTTTAGGGGTTTAGGGGTTTGGGGGTTTGGGGGTTTAGTGTTTTTGGGTTTTAGGGTTTAGGGTTTTAGGGTTTTAGGGTTTCAGGGTTTTAGGGTTTTAGGGTTTAGTGTATATGGAGGAAGGCGCTGTAGATGGTCAGGAAATTTTGCCACGAAGGCCTGGTGCTTGGATGTGTCTCCTCACCAAGGCTTGCTCTCGAACAGCATGCCGCCCCTAAACCCTGCACTCTGAGCCAAGCAAGTTCTAGAGACCTTCTGCGATTTCATAGGAACCTCTCGCCCCCCCAAACAGACGCTGCGTCCATCCTAGCTCCGAAACAGACCGGGCACCGTAAGAGAATCTCTAGATTCGTTTCAAGGGTTCTCACCTTAGTGCTGTGCTTTTGGAAAGACCTGAGAACCCAACGTCCGAACCTGAACGGCCCTGCACCCTAAACCCCGAAGCCCCTAAACTCGCTAAAAACCCGAAACCCCCAAAGCCTTTAAAGCCCTAAGCCCACGAAACCCTATCAACCCTACACCCTGTAAACCCTAAGCCCTATCTCAACCCTAATCCCTAAACCCTAAACCCCAAACCCTACACCCCAAACCCTACACCCTAAACCCGAAACCCTAAACCCTAAACCCTAAAACCCTAAAACCCTAAAACCCTAAAACCCTAAACCCTAAACCCTAAACCCTAAACCCTAAACCCTAAACCCTAAACCCTAAACCCTCCAAGAGTCGGCCCAGGCCGCCAGCGAGGCGGTGCCAGACCTGGAGAAGCTGACGACCGGCGCCCGCGGCTTTGGCCTGGCCAGAAGGACTTTAGGTTTAGGGTTAGGGTCTAGGGTTTAGGGTCTAGGGCAGTCTAGGGTTTCGGTTTAGGGTCAAGGTCTTATGGATTTAGGTATAGGGTTTGGGGCTTGTGGAGGTGTAAGGCAGTAGAGGGTTTCGGGGTTGTAGGGCTTAGGGCGTACGGCTTATGGGTGTGCCGACGCGGCAGACATCCAGAGGGCGCGCCAGAGCTTGTAGGGCCGCAAGGGTTCATGTGAGTTCATTATAGGGTTTATAGGGTTTGGAGTTAGGGTTTGAGGAGTTTCGGAAGTTTTCACACAGTCTTGAGGAATTCCGGTGGTTTATGGCTGGTGGCTTTTTGGGAAGTCGAGAGACGAATCACTAAAACAGTGAGGCCGAAGCCCAAGTGCTTTGTGTTCAGGGCCTCAAACACCGCAAGCCCTAAGCCCTAAAGGCCCCCCAACACCCCGCAACCGACTCCCTAAACCCTAAACCCTAAACCCTAATCCCTAATCTCTAAACCCTAAACCCCAAACCCTACACCCTAAACCTTAAACCCCAAACCCTAAACCCTAAACCCTAAACCCTAAACCACGTTTTCCGCCCCCCCCAAATCAAATGAGGCATCCTGGCCCTGCCCGACTTCCAGGAGGGCTTGGCCCTGGCGCGGAGCGACTGCGGCAAGGCTTCAGGGTTTAGGGTTTAGGGTTTAGGGTTTAGGGTTTAGGGTTTAGGGTTTAGGGTTTAGGGTTTAGGGTTTAGGGCTTAGGGCTTAGGGCTTAGGGCTTAGGGCTTAGGGTTTTGGGTTCAGGGTTTAGGGTTTAGGACTAGCAAGCTATCTAAACTCAGAATCCTGAGCCCCAAGCCCGAAGCCCCAAGCCCCAAGCCCCAAACCCCAAACCCTAAACCCTAAACCCTAAACCCTAAACCCTAAACCCTAAACCCTAAACCCTAAACCCTAAACCCTACAGGCCAAGCCCCATGCTCTGCAGATCTCGCAGCTACTGGAGAGCACCGAGCCGGCAAGCAACGTGACGACGAGCGCTGCGGACATCGCAACTCCGCCGCAGAAGTACGGGACAAGGGATCATTTCAGGGTTTTTTGGGGTTAGGGTTCTGTTTTTTTCTTTTTTTTTGGGGGGGGGGGGGTATCTAAGGTTTTCAGGCCTTTTTTTGGGGTTTCCGTTCGGGGGTTTTGAGGTTTTGGGATATAGGCGGTCTGTCGCTTGGGGGTAACTAAGGTTTTGGGTGGGCGACATTTGTGAGGGCACCCCCCGAAACCCGTGTTGGTTTCAAGATGGGACTGGCTTGGCTTGGTGCATGGCCACAGACATGATATCATGTGCAGCCAGCTGACAGCAGAAGCCGAAGTACCGACGCTCTCACCTTTGTCCGTGTTCCAGTTGTGGCAAAAGTGTTTCAAGACGGGACTGATTCGGCTTGGCGCATGTTCCTGTGGCACTTGTCTGTGCGCCTGCATGTCATGGTTGGCAGTCCGGTTGAAAGCGGAGGCCGAAGTGATGACACACTCACCTTGGTCCGTGTTCCGGAGCCCGTGCGGCTTTGATGGCAAAAGTGTTTCAAGACGGGACTGATTCGGCTTGGCGAATGTTGCTGTGGCACGTCTCTGTGCGCCTGCATGTCATCGTTGGCAGTCCGGTTGACGGCGGAGGCCGAAGTGATGACACACTCACCTTGGTCCGTGTTCCGGAGCCCGTGCGGCTTTGATGGCAAAAGTGTTTCAAGACGGGACTGATTCGGCTTGGCGCATGTTGCTGTGGCACATGTCTGTGCGCCTGCATGTCATCGTTGGCAGTCCGGTTGACGGCGGAGGCCGAAGTGATGACACACTCACCTTGGTCCGTGTTCCGGAGCCCGTGCGGCTTTGATGGCAAAAGTGTTTCAAGACGGGACTGATTCGGCTTGGCGCATGTTGCTGTGGCACATGTCTGTGCGCCTGCATGTCATCGTTGGCAGTCCGGTTGACGGCGGAGGCCGAAGTGATGACACACTCACCTTGGTCCGTGTTCCGGAGCCCGTGCGGCTTTGATGGCAAAAGTGTTTCAAGACGGGACTGATTCGGCTTGGCGCATGTTGCTGTGGCACGTCTCTGTGCGCCTGCATGTCATCGCTGGCAGTCCGGTTGACGGCGGAGGCCGAAGTGATGACACACTCACCTTGGTCCGTGTTCCGGAGCCCGTGCGGCTTTGATGGCAAAAGTGTTTCAAGACGGGACTGATTCGGCTTGGCGCATATTGCTGTGGCACGTGTCTGTGCGCCTGCGTGTCATCGTTGGCAGTCCGGTTGACGGCGGAGGCCAAAGTGATGACACACTCACCTTGGTCCGTGTTCCGGAGCCCGTGCGGCTTTGATGGCAAAAGTGTTTCAAGACGGGACTGATTCGGCTTGGCGCATGTTGCTGTGGCACGTGTCTGTGCGCCTGCATGTCATCGTTGGCAGTCCGGTTGACGGCGGAGGCCGAAGTGATGACACACTCACCTTGGTCCGTGTTCCGGAGCCCGTGCGGCTTTGATGGCAAAAGTGTTTCAAGACGGGACTGATTCGGCTTGGCGAATGTTGCTGTGGCACGTCTCTGTGCGCCTGCATGTCATCGTTGGCAGTCCGGTTGACGGCGGAGGCCGAAGTGATGACACACTCACCTTGGTCCGTGTTCCGGAGCCCGTGCGGCTTTGATGGCAAAAGTGTTTCAAGACGGGACTGATTCGGCTTGGCGCATGTTGCTGTGGCACGTGTTTGTGCGCCTGCATGTCATCGTTGGCAGTCCGGTTGACGGCGGAGGCCGAAGTGATGACACACTCACCTTGGTCCGTGTTCCGGAGCCCGTGCAGCTTTGATGGCAAAAGTGTTTCAAGACGGGACTGATTCGGCTTGGCGCATGTTGCTGTGGCACGTGTCTGTGCACCTGCATGTCATCGTTGGCAGTCCGGTTGACGGCAGAGGCCGAAGTGATGACACACTCACCTTGGTCCGTGTTCCGGAGCCCGTGCGGCTTTGATGGCAAAAGTGTTTCAAGACGGGACTGATTCGGCTTGGCGCATGTTGCTGTGGCACATGTCTGTGCACCTGCATGTCATCGTTGGCAGTCCGGTTGACGGCGGAGGCCGAAGTGATGACACACTCACCTTGGTCCGTGTTCCGGAGCCCGTGCGGCTTTGATGGCAAAAGTGTTTCAAGACGGGACTGATTCGGCTTGGCGCATGTTGCTGTGGCACGTGTCTGTGCGCCTGCATGTCATGGTTGGCAGTCCGGTTGACGGCAGAGGCCGAAGTGATGACACACTCACCTTGGTCCGTGTTCCGGAGCCCGTGCGTCTTTGATGGCAAAAGTGTTCAAGACGGGACTGATTCAACTTGGCACTCTGCCTTTTTTCCTGGGGGTCGGAAGAATTACTAATGGTATTCCCTGATGGTCTCTGTAGAATTATTATTCTAATTCTTCATTCTACTAATAGTATTCCCTTATGGTCCCTTGCTGAAAGCGTCTCGTGCGCTGCTGATGCTGCCCCCATATTATCCTGAAAGCTTCTCGCGCACTGCCGATGCTAGAGGTTGGTTTGGAGGAGCCCTTTCTTTGACCTCCCCCAAACCCTAAGCCCGAAACCCTAAAACCCTAAACCCTAAACCCTAAACCCTAAAACCCTAAACCCTAAACCCTAAACCCTAACCCCTTAACCCTTAACCCCAAACCCTAAACCCTAAACCCTAAACCTAGAGAGTCGCCTGACCTCCAGGAGATCACTGACGCGAAGTTGGTGAACATCTTTTCAGAGCTCCTCAGTTCGAAGTCGTCGGCTCGCCATGCGGGTTTAGGGTTTAGGGTTTAAGGTTTAGGGTTTAGGGTTTAGGGTTTAGGATTTAGGGTTTAGGGTTTAGGGCCTAGGGTTTAGGGTTTGGGGTTTACGGATTATGGTGGGTATAGGGCATGGGTCTGAGGCCTTGCGGATGAGGGTAAGTTGGAGGGTTGAGAGTGCCGGCTACCTACGACCTCGACCAGATGCCCTAAACCCTAGCCGACCCCCCAACTCCTGACCCTAAACCCTAAACCCTAAACCCCAAACCCTAAACCCTAAACCCCAAACCCTAAACCCTAAACCCTAAACCCTAAAACGCCTCGAAGCTCCGAAGCCCCAACTTCGCCTCAACCTTCGACTGGGGCTCAGGGTTGAGCTCCCACCCTAAACCCTATAAACCCTAAACCCTATAAACCCTAAACCCTAAACCCTAAACCCCATAAACCCTAAACCCTATAAACCCTAAACCCTAAACCCTAACCCCTAAACCCTATAGCCCTATAGCCCTATAGCCCTATAACCCTATAGCCCTATAACCCTATAACCCTATAACCCTATAACCCTATAACCCTATAGCCCTATAACCCTATAACCCTATAGCCCTATAGCCCTATAACCCTATAACCCCTAGACCTAGAAGACCCCACACATCGTCTATGTGAGCATGAAGCAAAACCTTAAACCCTAAACCAAGAGACCCACATACCCAACCTTGTTTTGCTGAACCCCTTAGACTCACTCTCGTGTTTTTCTTAGGCTCCTTAAGCCCCCTTGGCTTCTTTCCACAAAATCCCTAAACCCTAAACCCTAAACCCTAAACCCTAAACCCTAAACCCTAAACCCTAAACCCCAGAAGCTTGGGGCGGTTACCTGCAGGTTGGATGCGATGGTGGGCCTGGCGTCGGTGAAGCGGGCGATGCGCGAGTTCTATGCCACGGTGGCCGCCCAGCTCGGGGTTTAGGGTTTAGGGTTTAGGGTTTAGGGCATAGGGTTTAGGGTTTAGGGTTTAGGGTTTAGGGTTTAGGGTTTAGGGATACCTACGAGGCTTATCAGCTTAGTTTTTGGGGCTTCTGGGGCTTCCGGGGCGAATCGGGTACGTAGGTTTCTTTCCAGTGGACACGCCGAACCCCCCACGCCAAACCAGGAAGGCCTTGATGCCCTGCGGCTGTGAGTCCGGAGCCTAAACCCTAAACCCTAAACCCTAAACCCTAAACCCTAAACCCTAAACCCTAAACCCTAAACCCTAAACCCTAAACCCTAAACCCTAAACCCTAAACCCTAACTCCTACACCCTAAACCCTAAACCCTAAACCCTAAACCCTAAACCCTAAACCCTAAACCCTAAACCCTAAACCCTAAACCCTAAACCCTAAACCCTAAACCCTAAACCCTGAACCCTGAACCCTGAACCCTGAACCCTGAACCCTGAACCCTAAACCCTAAACCCTAAACCCTAAACCCCCATCCCCTGCCCCCCTTCCCCCTCCCTCCCCCAAGGAGTTCGCCAAAGTGCGCGCCCTGGCTGCGCCGAGTGGGCGGGGGCAGCATAGGTTGTCGAGTGACCAGGGAGTGCTTCGGGTACGGGCCATTCTGACCATGAGTTTGAGTGTCACGATGGGCATTCCTGTCGTTCTCGTCACTCCTGTCATTCTGTCTTTCAGCGGTAGGGGGATCGCTAGTATCCCTAAACCCTAAACCCTAAACCCTAAACCGTAAACCCTAAACCCTAAACCCTAAACCCTAAACCCTAAACCCTAAACCCTAAACCCTAATGTCTCTTTTTGTCATTCTTGTGATGACCGGTGGCCCTTTCAGCTTTCAGGAGACCTGAGAGTGGACTACCTCCACAAACCCTTACCACCTCTACAACACCATCCTCGCAGTGGAGGGACGACCCCTTCTGAAACCCGTTTGAGCCCCTATAAACCTCTATAACCCTTACCACTCCTATAACCCCTATGACCCCTATAAACCCCTATAACCCATATGACCCCTATGAACCCCTATAAACCCCTATAAACCCCTATAAACCCCGCCTAGAACCCCTGTAAACCCCTATGAACCACTATAAACCCCGAAAACCCTATACAAACCCCAAGAACACCCGAGAGAGACCCTCACCCTCATGCTTTTTCAGGCAAGCGCGCGGGCCTGAAGGCCCTGAAGAGCCAAAGCTTCCACATGCGCTTCCTGGGCAACCCGGGCACGGGGAAGACGGTGGTCGCACGAATCGTCGGCCGCCTTGTCTGAAACCTGCAGGTTTAAAGCCGGGCCCGAAGCCCAAGAAACCTTATAAACCCAAGGCCCATAGCCCAAAAAAAGCCCTGAACCCCAAGCCCTAAACTAAATTCTGAACCTGTGAACCCGAACCCTGAACCCTGTACCCTAATCCCTAAACCCTGGAAGGAGTTCAGGGTTTCGATTCAGAGTCTCAAGGGGTCGAACTCATTGGGCTATGGAGGGCTCTAAGCACTCAAGGCCACGTCCACCATCTCAGGGTTTAGGGTTTCGGGTTGAGGGTTTGGGGGTTTAGCGTTTAGGGTTTGGGGTTTTGGGATTTAGATTTCGGGTTCCTGCGAAGTGGGATACGGCTGGTGTGTGGACGTTTGAGAAGACCTAAGTATCTCCCTCATAGTCCCTACGCAACGCAATGATGATAAAGTAGCCCGAGATACCCATTCTGATTCAAGGGGCTCCAATATTACGTTGTTTCACCCTAAAGTTTAGGGGTTACAGTCGTGGCCATAGACGCGATATGCTTTCTTGACGGTTCGTCTTGAGCAGAGCGTGCAAAACTTCAAGCTCTCTTCGAGTTTATAACTTTCCGTGCCCTGAGCAACAACAATGATAAGCAGTTCCTTTCCTAAACCCTAAAACCCAAACGCTGAACCCTGAACCCTGAACCCTGAACCCTGAACCCTGAACCCTGAACCCTGAACCCTGAACCCTGAACCCTGAACCCTGAACCCTGAACCCTGAACCCTGAACCCTGAACCCTGAACCCTAAACCCTAAACCCTAAACCCTAAACCCTAAACCCTAAACCCTAAACCCTAACCCTAAACCCTAAACCCTAAACCCTAAACGCTAACCGAAACGTCAGATTCCTGAATGCCTTTCGCCGGCAAGCCCAACCTTAACCCGAAACCCCATGAGGCCCCAAGCGCTGGAACCCTCAACCATGCATTTTAGGGTTTAGGGTTTAGGGTTTAGGGTTTAGGGTTTAGGGTTTAGGGTTTAGGGTGTGGGGAGATCGGGCCTCTGGAGCTATGCCCCTGAAGCCTTGGTGTATCAGGCAAGCTGCTCATTGCGCTTGGGGCCATCCAGCCGCTTGGAGGGCTTAGGGTTCATGCAGGGTTTAGGGTTTGGGGTTCGGGGTTTGGGGTTTAGGGCGTAGGGCTCAGGGGTTTGCTCCCAGACGTGGCCTCAGGCGTGATTCGAATGAAGCCCTCATCCCCCTAAACCCTACGCCTGAAACCCTAGATCCCAAATATCCTCAGTTATTAGGGTCTAGGGTTTAGGGCTAGGGTTTAGGGTTAGCGTTCTATCGAGATCTTTACGAGGCTAAGGTGTGAAAGCCCCAAAACCTCGAAAGCCTCAGCAGCAAAGCCCTGCATCCAGGAAGCCGGCCGACGCCAAGGGTGACAAGCCGGCCGAGGGCTGAGCACCCCAACGCCCAAACTTCAGCCCGGGGGACGCCCTCCAAAATGAGGGGTGCCTGGACCCTAAACCCTGAACCCCCCAAACCCTAAACCCTAAACCCTACACCCTACACCCTACACCCTACACCCTACACCCTACACCCTAAACCTAAAGCCTAAACCCTAAACCCTAAACCCTAAACCCTAAACCCTAAACCCTAAACTTTTTATGGCTTTTAAGTTTGGTGTTTTTGGGGCAAATGGCACAGCGACATCATAGAGAAGTCCGGTTAGAAGTAGGCACTGGATCTGGCCGTTTAGGGTTTAGGGCTTAGGGCTTAGGGTTTAGGGTTTAGGGTTTAGGGGACTGAGTGACGGAGCACGCGCAACTCAGCAAACGCTATCGAATGAAAGCGACACTACTGTGCATTCTGCATCAGATACGAGACTGGCGACTGACAGAAGGCACAAAGACGACATCAGCCACAAGCAACAAAATAGGGGCACCTCCCTTTATACCCAAATAGAATAGAATCCCCTTAAAGGGACCCTCAAAACGGGTACCCCTAGTCTCGGAAGCCTCCACATGGTTTCAACGCTGCGCAGTGAAGTGACAGCAGGTTGGGAAGCTGGAACAAAGAGGCTCCAATACCCCTTACTTAAGGAATATTCCTTAAACCATATAAGGAATATTCCTTAAACCATACAAGGAATATTCCTTAAAACATATAAGGAAGATTCCTTAAACCATATATGGAATATTCCTAAAGCATATAAGGCACCCTCTTATTCTTTAAGGAAAATTCCTTAATTAAGGGGTATTGGAGTCTCTGTGAAGACACAACGCCAGAGGAACACCGACGAACTGAGACTCTGATATTCGGGGCATCCTCTTCCAGTTCATACTAGGGTTTCGGGTTTCGGGTTTAGGGTTTAGAAGGGTTTAGAAGGGTTTAGAAGGGTTTAGAAGGGTTTAGAAGGGTTTAGAAGGGTTTAGGGTTTAGGGTTTAGGGTTTAGGGTAAGACATCCCCAAGACATCCCACCAAAAGCCGGGAAAGGAAAGAAGCAATACGAGCAAGTGACCAAACACGCCCAAAAGCTGGCTTTCCCTAAACCCGAAAACCTAAACCCTAAACCCGAAACCCTAAACCCTAAACCCTAAAGATCATATCTAGGAGTATTTTTCCGAGGGGTTTAGGGGCCATCCTAGCCTAAACGTCAAAACCCCAAACCCTGCACCCGTAAACCCTAAACCCCAAACCCCAAACCCCAAACCCGCTAAACCCCAAACCCCAAAACCCCTAAACCTTAAGCCCAAACCCTTAACCCCAAACCCTAAACCCTGAACCCCAATCCCTAAACCCTAAACCCCCAAACCCCAAACCCTAAACCCCAATCCCTAAACCCTAAACCCTAAACCCCTAAACCCCTAAACCCTAAACCCTAAATGCTCAGGTCTTCAACGAAGTCGCTCGAAGCGACCTTGTCGCCGAGTACGTTGGGCAGACGGCGCCCAAGGTCCAAAAGGAGGCCCGGGGCATCGAGCTCGAGGAGGGGTTTAGGGTTTCGGGTTTAGGGTTTAGGGTTTAGGGTTTAGGGCTACTAGGACCCAGAGTAGGCCCTTACTTTGTGTTTTTACGGCTTCGGCTCCCGAAGAAGCCCCTCTAAACCTAAAAAGAGCACCTTTGCTACTCCCAGCTTGCTCTTCATTTAGTTTTCTTGCTCTTTCGGATGAGAACCCAATGAGCCCTGACCCCTGCCCATCCCATATAGATGCGAGGGGTTAGGGTTTAGGGTTTAGGGGTTTAGCAGAACAACCCCCGAATCCACAAGCTCAAAACCCGAATGTTGAACCCCAGACACCAAACCCCAAGGTCTAAACCCAAGCCCCAAACCCCAAGGCCTCAACCTTAAACCTCAAGCTCTCAGGCCTAATACCCTAAACCCTAAACCCCAAACCCTAAATCCTAAACCCTAAATATCCTAAACCCCAAACCCTAAACCCTAAACCCTCGACAATACCTCAAACAAGGTCAACAAGAGCTTGGGCGGAGTGTTCTTCCTGGACGAGGCGCTCAAGGGGCTTGTGCTTTCGATTGGGGGTTTCTAAGGCAACGTGTATGACCCACCCCGAAAACCCGAACCCTAAACCTGAAACCGGGGGTGTTAGGGTTAGGGTATGGAAGATTCGGGTTCAGGGGAAATGGCCCAAACCCATTGTGGACGTTGCTTGAAGACCTTGAGGAAGTGAGATCAGCTAGCCCGAAGCATGAAACCCTCAACAAGAATTCCTTTGCACTCCAAACCCTCACCATTACTCCTGCCGAAATTCAAATCTCTAAACCTGTCAACCCTAATCCTCATTGCTGAACCCCTAAACCCTAAGCTCTACACCCTAAACAATAAACCCTAAACCCCACACCGCCTGAAACTGCGCCACCGCAGGCCTACTCGCTGGTGAACGGCGCGCGGGACCAGTTTGGGCATGAGGCGGTGGCCGCTGGGCTCGATGGTGGAACTGGGGCAGCTCATGCTGCTGCTTTAAGGGTATAAGGTTTAGGGTTTAGGGTTTCAGATTTCGGGTTTAGGGTTTAGGCGGGTTTAGGGTTTAGGGTTTAGGGTTGGGGAGAAGCTTCTGCGTGGGGGGAGGGGTGGGGGGGAGGGGGGGGGGCGTGGTTTGGGTTTTAGATGGTTGCGTTCGTGCCTTTTTGGGGGGTCCCTGTTTTGATACGGCTCCTTCCATCAAGGACCCAAGAGTTGTCAGAGAGCTGAGCTAATATGCATCTTGATTCTGATTCCGAAATCACTTCTAGCTTGACCCCCTAAACTCTAAACCCCAAAACCCCTGAACCCTAAACCTTCAGCCCCTGAGACCCTCAACCCCTGAACCTAAACCCTTAACCCCTGAACCCTACACCCCTCAGCCAACGAGAAGTTCAACGCAAGGACACGCCCTAAACCCCAAACCCTAAACCCTAAACCGATGAGGACACGCTCATTAAGGAGATGGAGGATAAGCGGGCCAATTTCGTGGCGGGGGAACCCAGTTTGCCCTGTGGCTTCCTCATGCCGCAAGCCCCCGAAACAATCGAGTTCCCAAACCCGCCATTGAAGCCATGAACTTCAAACCCTAAGCCCTAAACCCTAGAAATCCCAACCCTAAACCCTAAACCCTAAACCTTAAAAGCTGAACCCTAAACCCTAAACCCTAAACCCTGAACCCTGAACCCTGAACCAAGAGCCTCTGGAGGTCATCTGCGCCGGCTACGAGCACGAGATGGACGCCTTCTTCGAAAGCAATCCAGGCTTCAAGTCTGCTCCTCAGCCTTCTGGGAGGGTTTAGGGTTTAGGGTTTAGGGTTTAGGGTTTAGGGTTTAGGGTTCAGGGTTCAGGGTGTAGGGTTTAGGGTTCAGGGTGTAGGGTTTAGGGTTAAGGGCTAAGGGTTAGGGTTTAGGGTTTAGGGGTACGGGTTGGATTGAAGGTTTAGGGTTCAAATGGGTAGGGGCTTGGGGCCGCCAGCGTGGAGGTGAGATTGGGGAGGGGGGGGGGATTGGAGGTTGAGGTTAGGTTTTGGGGGCGTCGGAGTTGGCGCGAAGGGATGCCATGTTTCGGCGGTTTTAGGGACCACGCTGCGGGATCAAGGTTCAGGACCTGTGATTGCATGCTCGGCCGGTCTATTCCCCAGGTCACAAGCCCATCAAGCTCCGCGAACAAACCCCTGACACTTCAACCCCTCCCCCAAGCCCAATTCAGGTCGCGCGTCCCCTTCACCTTCTACTTCGAGGATGCCAAATAGGGCACTTTTCTTGTACCCAAGGCCCCTATTCGGCTTCAGGGATTTGGGGCTGGCTATCGAGCAAGCCGTAACCCTCAACCCTAAACTAGGGAAGCTTTAGGGACTGCCCAGGCTGCCCTTGCTATTTCGTTCGAAAGGGTACCCAGTTCCCGTTGCCCGCTGCAGGGATCTCATTCTTACCCCTATGAAAAGCAAACAAGTTTAGGGGGTCTTCTTTTCTCCCCTATTCCGAACCGGCAAGTTCAACGCGTCCAGGCATCTCACTGTATTTTCCACCCCCCCTCCCTCCCTCCCCCAAAAAAAAACAAAAAAACACGCCAAAGCAAAGCAACCAAGAAAGGAAGCAGCCCTCCTGTCTCTTTGCCTGAGGACTACACGTGTCCCCAGCTGATGGAGATCGGGAAGCTGTCGCTGCGGCCGAAGGCAGCGGACGCGAACTGCGTCGAGCTTTTGGAGAGCTTGGGGTCTGTAAGGACTCTGAAAGGTGTGTAGGCTTGTTGAGGGGTGTAGCTGCACATTCTGGATTCATGATGATTGCAGTATGGTCAGATTCAGTTGCTTTTGTTCTGTTGCTGTTTGCCTGTTTCTCTCGACCTAAGCCTCGAACCCCCTAAAACCCTTAAGGGTTTTGAATCCCCAGAACCCGACCCTGCCCCCCTAAACCCTAAACCTTAAACCTTAAACCCTGAACCCTAAACCCTAAACCCTAAGCCCCAAAGCCTGCAAGAAGCCATGAGAGGGCTTGCAGCTGCCAGCGGATCTGACCACCTACAACGATGCCATGACCTTCTCCACTGGCTGCGGGCGAGCCCAGAGGGGACGGTGGGTTTAGGGTTTAGGGTTTAGGGTTTCGGGTTTCGGGTTTAGGGTTTAGGGTTAGGGGTTTAGGGTTTAGGGTTTAGGGTTAGGGGTTCAGGGTTTCGGGTTGTTGGGGGCCATCCTTGGGGTTTTGCGAGGGGCGTTTTCAGGGAGCTCTCCAACGCTCTGGATCCCTCATACACCCCTAAACCCTCAGTCCCAAGCCCCAGGCCCCAAGCCCCAAACCCTAAACCCTAAACCCTAAACCCTAAACCCTAAACCCTAAACCCTAAACCCTAAACCCTAAACCCCCAACCTTTCCCCCAAACCCCAGGCAGTACAGTACACCCGAAAAAAGCAAAACACGAACAAACCGCAAACAAAAGCAACCTTGACCCCCCAAACCCCAAGCACCCTAAACCCTAAACCCTAAACCCTAAACCCTAAACCCTAAACCCTAAACCCTAAACCCTAAGCCCTAAGCCCTAAACCCTAAACCCTAAACCTTAAACCCTAAACCTAAACCCTCAACCATGAACCCCCAACACCAACAACAAAAAGCACAACAACCGCACAGAAAAGCTACCTTGACGGCCTCGTGAGGTTGCCAGCACCTGGAAGACTGCCCTCCCGACAAGGCCTCCCGAGCCAGGATCTGTCCTGGTTGCGGCCGGGCTTGGGGTTTGGGGTTTAGGGTTTAGGGTTTAGGGCTGTTGCCCCAAAGCCTTGAAATCCTATGACGCCCTCAAGCCTGCAAACCCTAAAGCCCCTAGACACAAAGATCAAGCAATAAGCCCTAAGCGCTAAGCCCTAAGCCCTAAGCCCTAAGCCCTAAGCCCTCTAAGCCCTAAGCCCTAAGCCCTAAGCCCTAAGCCCTAAGCCCTAAGCCCTAAGCCCTAAACCCTAACCCTAAACCCTAGACCCTAGACCCTAGACCCTAGACCCTAGACCCTAGACCCTAGACCCTAGACCCTAGACCCTAGACCCTAGACCCTAGACCCTAAACCCTAAGCCCTAAACCCTAAACCCTAAACCTATGGAATACCCTTATGACACCGCAGAGCCCCTGGCACCATCACGAGCCGCTCCGAGTCACTACTGCCGGTTAGGGTTTCGGGGTTTCAGGGTTTCGGGGTTTCAGGGTTTCAGGGTTTCAGGGCTTTCAGGGTTTCGGGGTTTCAGGGTTTTCAGGGTTTTCAGGGTTTTCAGGGTTTTCAGGGTTTCAGGGTTTTCAGGGTTTTCAGGGTTTCAGGTTGAGGGTTTCACGGTGCAGGGATTTAGGGTTTCTCGGTGTAGGGATTTAGGGTTTGGGGTTCGGAGGGGTCAAAACGCCAACGCTGCGTAAACCCTAAACCCTAAACACTAAGCCCTAAACCCTAAACCCGAAATCCTAAACCTTAAGCCCTAAACTTAAACCCAAAATAAACCCTAAACCCTAAACCCTAAGCCCTAAGCCCTAAACCCTAAACTTAAACCCAAACCCTAAGCCAGAGAAGTTAAGGGTTTCATCCCGGGCTTAGGGTCTGCAACTGGCCTCGAAGCTTTGGACTCCTTCGCCCCGAAGGTCTAGAAGCCACCTGGAAACCCCAGAGGCCCTAAGGGTTTAGGGTTTAGGGTTTAGGGTTTAGGGTTTAGGGTTTAGGGTTTAGGGTTTAGGGTTTAGGGTTTAGCCAAGCCCCAAACAGAGCCTAAACCCAAGCCCCAAGCTCCAAGCCCTAAACCCCAAACCCCACACCCTGAACCCTGAACACTAAACCCTAAACCTAAACCCCAAACCCCACACTGCCCCACACCTCAAGAGTCAACCCCAAACCCTAAGCCCTAAACCCTAGCCCCAAACCCTAATCCCTAACCCTAAACCCCAAACCCGCACCTGACTTTCTGAAGCCCCCAAACTCGACGTTCTGCAGCCACAGGCCCGGGGAAACGGCCGCGCCGTGCGAAACGCCATCGAGGTCGGCACGGCCATCCTAGGTTTAGGGTAGGGTTTAGGGTTTAGGGTTTAGGGTTTAGGGTTTAAGGTTTAGGGTTTAGGGTTTAGGGTTTAGGGTTTAGGGTTTAGGGTGAGGGCCCTGGAGCCCTAGAATCCTGGACACACCGTAACGACCTAAGCCAGAAAACCCTAAGCCTTCAATCTTTGCTCAGCCAACAAAGGCACTGCCAAAAGCCCAACCCCAGGGAATTCAACCCTGGAGCCCACAAATCTCTGAACCTTAAAGAGAAAACCAATAAACCATCGACAGCCCAAGCCGTAAAGCCCTTCTCAGCCATAAGAGCTAGACCCCCAAATCCCGGACCCCTACCAGACCATAACGTCCAAACACCTAGTAAAGCATAAAACCTTCCGGCCCTACACACCCTTATGGTCCCCCCCCCCCCCCCCCCCCCCCCCAAAAAAAAAAACAATTAAATTGAACATGCCGACGAAGCAGCTCAACCGTTGGAGCTCTACAAACCTCAGCCCTTTTTGGGATCCGCAACCCGAACCCCCCAAGATGCAAGAAAGGCCCTCCCCCCTCCCCAGGAGGTAAGAACAGCATCCGGGTACAGCTTCGAGGTGACAGGGCAGGGTTTAGGGTTCAGGGTTTAGGGTTTTGGGTTTTGGGGTTTAGGGCTCGAAAAGGCAGCTGAAGACAAGCCTGATGAGAGCTGGGCGTAGAGGCTTAGAGGACGTAAACCCTAAACCCTAAACTCAGATGCGCGGGGCTCCGGGCCTCTTCTCGAGAAACACTTGATTACGAAGCAGCATCAGACCGTAAACCCAGAAAGCCCGAAAGGCCCAAAGCCTCAAAAGCTCCACCCTAAACCCTAAACCCTAAACCCTAAACCCTAAACCCTCAACCCTAAGCCCTAACCCTAAAACCCTAAACCCTAAACCCTAAACCCTAAACCCTAAACCCTAAACCCTAAACCCTAAACCCTAAACCCTAAACCCTAAACCCTAAACCCTAACCTAAACCCTAAACCCTAAACCCTAAACCCTAAACCCTAAACCCTAAACCCTAAACCCTAAACCCTAAACCCTAAACCTAAACCCTAAACCCTAAACCCTGACCCTAAGCCCTAAACCCTAAGCCCTAAACCCTAAACCCTAAACCCTAACCCTAAACCCTAAACTACCTAAACCCTCCCTCTGCTTCACAGTTTCTGGTGCCAGGCGGCGATCCGGCAGATGGCCAGGCGCCTTCAGGGCACCCGTGCACCCAAGGTGGCGGCTCAGGGGAGGGATGGGGGGGGGGGGGGTTAGGGTTTAGGGTTTAGGGTTTAGGGTTTAGGGTTTGGGGTTTAGGGTTTAGGGTTTTGAGGCTTTGTCAAGGTTTTGGGAGGCTTTGGGGGGTTCATGGCGATGGGAAACCTGAAGCCCCAACTGCAGGGGAAAGTGGAGGGACCCCCAGAAGGCATACCTTACATAGTCCCTATATATACTTAAGTATCCCGAAATACCCCCTAAACTATATAACCCCTGAATAACCCGAATACCCCCAACTAACCCCGAAATAACCCCTAAGGTCCCTTGCATAAGGGTGCCTCCGTTAGGCCCCCGAACCAGGCACAGTACAGCCAGCTCCAAGCAGAGGACTTCGCTGCACGGGGCTGAGATTGGGCTCTTGCTGTGTAGACACACCAGGCAGATCAGGGGTTCGCTCTACTACCCCCCTCTCTTCTACCCAAATTAAAGTGCTTTCAGGGGGGGAACCTAAGTGGGGGGGTTAGTTTTGAGGGGGGTAAGAGGGAAATCCATGAGCAAGAAGTTAGAATCATGTGGTGTTTGAAGACACTACGGTCTCATGCTTGCGGCACCCTAAGCCCTAAACCCCAAACCGTAAACCCTCAGCCCCTAATGGTAAACACTGTGGTTTCCTCAGTCTCGTACCTTGAAATCTAAGTTCCTCAACAGCCCTAAAGCCCCAAATCCCTAGGATCCCTAAAACCTTAGAACCTCAGAGCCCTAAACCCTCAACCCTGAAGCCTTCAAACCCCAAACCCTAGGACTATTTCAGTTTAGGGTTTAGGGTTTAGGGTTTAGGGTTTAGGGTTTAGGGTTAAGGGTTAAGGGTTAAGGGTTTAGGGTTTAGGGTTTAGGGTTTAGGGTTTAGGGTTTAGGGTTTAGGGTTTAGGGTTTAGCACCTCGCGCATCCTGCCAGCTCGAGTGTCCCGACCTCGAAAACTCCGAATCGGACTCCGGAGCCTCCAAGCCCGGAACGCCGCCTCCCCTGAAGACCCCTGAATCCGCAGCCGGTGGAGGGTTTAGGTGTAAGGCCGAGATTCTAGGGTCCAGGGTTTAGGGTTTAGGGTTGTTGAGGGTTTAGGGTTTAGGGTTTCGGGGTTTAAGGGTTCGGGTTCAAGGCCTCCCAGCCTCCCCAAAGCCAAGCCTCCCGAAGCCTCCAGGCCGTCTTGGCCGCCAGCCTGGAAACGCTCTTTGCTGTGCCTTGCGGACCCCGTGGCCGCCTGGGTTGAATGAAGCAAGGGCCTGACCTCTGAACCCTATACCTTGGGATGTTCCCCTCTAGGGTTTAGGGTTTAGGGTTTAGGGTTTAGGGTTTAGGGTTTAGGGTTTAGGGGCTTAGGGTTTAGGGTTTAGGGTTTAGGGTTCATGGGAATGATCAATAGGGGGGGGGGGGGTACTACAATCCCTATCAAGGACTGTTCGAATAAGGGGGAACATCCCAACCCATACCTGACTAATCCCTTCCCCCTGGTAGTAAACGGGCCCCCAATGATGAAAAAACACTTTCCGGAAAATCCTGCCGAAACCGACCCCGCCTTTTTAACCCTATTCCGAATGGGCCTCAACAACCTTCAAGCCAATGTAAACCCTATCCCCGAAGATGTCACGTGGACAAAAACATCCCCCTCAAATTAAAAGCACATTTCGAGTTTCTATTGGGGGAGGGGGGGGGGCCGAAAACCCTAAACCCTAAACCCTGAACCCCAAACCCTAAACCCGAAACCCTAAACCCGTTTAATACTATGGGGAAGGGATAATGTATTTCTCGACCATCTTTCGGTTCCTTTTTCTTTTTCAAATCTTATATGAATCGGTTTGTTTATGTCTTCATTTGGTTTCATTTGTTTATTGAGGCATGACTTCTTTGCTTGCTGTTGTTTTTGGTGGGTTCAGGGTTCAGGGTTCAGGGTAGTTTAGGGTAGTTTAGGGTTTTTGGGGTTTAGCCTGAGGTCCGCTGGCAAAAATCATCTCCTTGTCTGAGACGGATCCGAAGAAGTTCCAGTTCTTCATCCAGCTTGAGAAGGACGGCGTGGGATGTTCTCCCCTATCCTAACAGTGCTTAGGAGGGGTTATAGAAAGGGCGTACCATAATCCCTATGAAGTCCTTCATCGGGATTGTAGAAAGACCATAATCCCTTTGAAGAATAGGGATTCTCGTACCCCCCCCCCCCCTAATTCCTATAACCCCATTAAGGACTGTTATGTTAGTATAAGGGAGACATCCCAAAGGACAGCCCTAGCTCCCACACACTCAGAAGCCGCAAGCAGTCAACCCCGGAACCGGGGCTCTTCCCTGAGCCCGCCTACTCGAGTCGTGCCCAAAGGAGCTTAAACTTGGGATGTTCCCCCTTTGTACTAGCAGTCCTTAATAGGGATTCTAGTACGGGAACATCCAAAGCTTAAACTCTAAAGCCTGCTTCAGAACGTGCTTAAGAAGTTCAAATTTCGTAGCACCCTAGGCTAGCATCCTGTTGGGTCAAGATTTTGGCGTAACAGATTCTCTCCATCCCCTTTAGACCCCCACATCATGAAACCTGACGTCCCGGCCCTTTCCATTCTCTAGCCACCGGAAGTAAAAGGGCCCCGTAAGGCCGGCCGTAAGGGGCCTTCCCCCCGTAAGGGGCCTTTCGCAAGGCCCGTCCCCATAGAAGGGGCGTAAGGGGCCTTTCCCCGCCCGTAAGGGGCCTTCCCACCCCTCCCATAAGGGGCCTTCCTTCCGGCCTTCCCCCATAAGGGGCTTTTCACCCGCAACGGGCCTGAAACTCTAAACGAGCAGACGAAGCACGGCCTCAACCGAGCCCGACCCGATGTTCACAGGAGCTGCAGGGCGGCAAGAAGGAGATCTCTACGCGGCTGCCACCTGGCAAAGAGTGCCTAGAGACCCCAAGAAACATACAAGGCCCGAAGTCAGCTCCTTAGCAGCAACACCTTCCCTCTGTCCTGGGATCGGGTTTCAGAGCTCGTTCTGAGGTTTCGAAGTTGTTGTTGGGTTTCTGGCCGTTTTTTTCAAGCTGAGATCTCCTCTGAACCTGGAGGCATTCAGATGCATTCAGTGTTAAGGAATCCCCAGAAAGCTCTGCCACCCCTCACGTCCTCGAGACTTTCCAGTGAGAGCTTCAACTAACTTCGTACAGGCCCAGGCGTATTTGAAGCGGGGTGTTGTTGCTGGTATCTCCAAACGGACTCCCACAAAATGCATATATATATATATGTATATATATATATATATGTATATGTTTTTTTGTTTATTTTTCTATTGATATTTATATTAATATGTACATTTTTTATTTCTTTTTCTATTTCTATTTCGATTTATGTTTGTATTTATGTACATATTTATATTTCTTATATTCATATTTATTTTCTATTTATACCCACACACTCTGGGGTGTGTATATATATATATATATACATATGTATATTTATTTGCTTATTTATGTATACATAATTTCAGAGTAACCCTTTCTACACTCACGAAGAACCACAACGAAGACATGGCGACCCTAACGCGTATCACAGAGCAGGGAGCCCATGGACCCTGCAGAGCCTGGGCCCCTACCCTTTCGAGCCCCCATACACCCCTAGGTTCGTTTAGGGTTTAGGGTTTAGGGTTTAGGGATTAGGGTTTAGGGTTGCACCCCTAGGTTCAGAAGCCACCCTAAGAGGGTAGCCAGGGTCCCTTTTTGGGAGTTGTTTTCTTTTGTTCCGTTTTAAGGGTAGTACATAGGGGACCCCAGAAGGAACCCTGAATTTTTAGGGTTTAGGGTTTAGGGTTTAGGGTTTAGGGTTTAGGGTTTAGGGTACCTACCCCATGAGGCAAAGGATCACGTCGCAGATCGCCGTCGCCTCCCAGATCGGGCCGGGAGCCGCCCTGGCTTAGGGTTTAGGGTTTAGGGTTTAGGGTTTAGGGTTTAGGGTTTAGGGTTTAGGGTTTAGGGTTTAGGGTTTAGGGTTTAGGGTTTAGGGGCTTCGTGTTTCGAGCACATAAGACCTATCAGTTGGGATGTTCCCCCCTTATACTAGCAGTCCTTCATAGGGATTCTCATAGGGAGTACTATAAACCCATTAAGGACTGTTAGTATAAGGGGGAACATCCCAACCTAAAAGCTCCAAGATGCAACGAGCACTCAATCCGAACAGTCATTTGAAGGGCAACGGTCGCTGGGATTACCTGGGACTCTCTTTACCTGCAGTTTAATGGGTTACACCTACTAATTCAGGGGTAGTTCCTACCAAACTGTAGGTAAGTAGAGTCCCAGGTACAGCTTGAATGGATCTTCATTGCTTGCCGCCTGAGCTTGTCCTCTCAGCCTGGGACCCTCCTTAAGCACAGACCCACAGGGGAAGCATCTTGCCACAGCAGCTAAGCCCTGAGCGGAAACCGATGTTATGGCAGTTGCCGGCCGGCTCATGCGTCGCTTGATTCCGTCGGACATCTTCGGAGTTCGGTACCTTGTACCCCCCAGCATCCCTAAACCCTGAACCCTAAACCCTAAACCCTTTTCCCTAAACCCTATGAGCCTTTTGTCAGAGCTCTCAGATGGTCAGGGGCCTGGCGCCCACGACGCGCAAGCACCTGGAGACGTGCACGACCAAGCAGCGGGACCGGATGGGGCCCGCGCAGGGCTTCAGAGCTTCGGGGCGGCTTGTGTTAGGGTTTAGGGTTTAGGGTTTAGGGTTTAGGGTTTAGGGTTTAGGGTTTAGGGTTTAGGGTTTAGGGTTTAGGGTTTAGGGTTTAGGGTTTAGGGTTTAGGGTTTAGGGTTTAGGGTTTAGGGTTTAGGGTTTAGGGTTAGGGCTTAGGGTTTAGGGTTTAGGGTTTAGGGTTTAGGGTTTAGGGTTTAGGGTTTAGGGGTTAGGGTTTAGGGTTTAGGGTTTAGGGTTTAGGGTTTAGGGTTTAGGGTTTAGGGTTCAGGGTTCAGGGTTTAGGGTTTAGGGTTTACTATTGGCTTGGGCCGGCGATTCGCAAGGCCCCTTTCTAATATTCATAGGTAGAGAACGTTTGGGTTGCAGTCTAGTGTTTAGGGTTTCGGGTTTGGAGGATGCGGGTGTGCCTTCTAGCAACCCAATCAGAAAACAGCCGCAAGATCTTGAACCCCCGGCCGGTCAAGAACAGGTTTCGCGAAGGCCCGGGGTTCTGCTGAGGGTCCTCGACCAACCCTAAATCCTAACCATAAACCATAAACCCTAAACCCTAAACCCTAAACCCCAAACCCTAAACCCCAAGCCCCTGTCCAGCGCAGGACGCTCAGCAGGGCGTTATCCAACGACTCTGGGTGAGCACGGAGGGGACTTGGGGGTTGGGGAGTCTGGCCTCGCACCCTCAACCCTACAGGCTGGGGGGTTTAGGGTTTAGGGTTTTGGGTTTTAGGGTTTAGGGTGAAAGGTTTAGGGTTTAGGGTTGAGGACCCAAGCACTCAACTTTCAACCCGGCCCCTTGAGCCCTACACCCTGAAACGTACCCTCAAACGTGGCGCCCAAAGAAGTTGCTGTCCCAAGGCAATTCTGAATCTCGTCTTTACAATGGGAAGTCTATCCTGCAGAAACATCCCCGTATAAGCTTTACGGGTATATCTTCCTCCTTAGAGGATAAGCCCTAAACCCTAAAGCCTGAACCCTAAACCCGAAACCCTAAACCCTAAACCCTAAACCCTAAACCCTAAACCCTAAACCCTAAACCCCAATCCCCCCGCACGTGGGTCTGAGGCCTGGAGCACTATTGCGCCTCCGAGGGCATTCTCGATGCCGTGAGCTGGCCGCCAGTTGAGGGTTAGGATCCAGGGGTTACAGGCCCTAAACCCTAAACCCTAAACCCGAAACCCTAAACCCTAAACCCTAAACCCTAAACCCTAAACCCTAAACCCTAAACCCTAAAGGATTGAACGTGTTTCAGGGTCAAGTCTTCCTTGCGGGAGAATCTTGGAGACAGAGGGTTGGGGCATCCTGTGGGCTACTGTTCATTGCTCTGCAATCCTGCTAGTGCCAGGGACAGGGTTTAGGGTTTAGGGTTTAGGGTTTAGGGTTTTAGGGTTTAGGGTTTAGGGTTTAGGGTTTAGGGTTTAGAGTTTAGGGTTTTGGGTCACACTTCGCTTCCTAGACTCTTCGAACCCCACCTAACACATTGGGAATGTGGTAGGAATGACATAGGGACATGCCCCCCCCCCCCCCCCCCCCAATTTTCGGAATCCCCCCAATGTGTAGTAGGAATGAAGAAAGAACCCCTAAACCCTTACACCCTACACCCTACACCCTAAACCCTAAAACCCTAAACCCTAAACCCTAAACCCTAAACCCTAAACCCCGAGGGACGCAGGTTTCACTTCGGGACCCATAGGAGTACACAAAGGCAACATCGTCAGAGGCTCCCTCTGCCAACCCGTCAACCCCCACAATGAGAGTTCAGGGTTTCAGGGTTTCAGGGTTTCAGGGCTTTAGGGTTTTACGGGTTTATGGCTTGACTGTTTCGGGTTTAAGGGTTTAAAGCCCTAAACCCTAAACCCTAAACGATGGGTTGACTGTTTCGGGTTTAGGGGGTCCAAGACCAGGCCGCGAAGGAGATCAAGACGACCTGGGATAAGGCCGAGATCGCAACTCCTCGGCGATTCGGTCCCGGGTGCTTCAGGGGTTTAGGGTTTAGGGTTTAGGGTTTAGGGTTTAGGGTTTAGGGTTTAGGGTTTAGGGTTTAGGGTTTAGGGTGCTATAGGTTGCCCTGAAGCCCCTTCATGGAACAGGGCTTCGTGTTTACGAGCTCAAAGCCCGAAATCCTAAACCCTAAGCCCTAAACCCTAAACCCTAAGCCCTGGACCCATGATTGTGGTGTCAAAGGGAAGTGCTTGGATTGGGTTTAGGGTTTGGGGTTTGGGGTTTAGGGTTCAGGGGTTAGGGTTTAGGGTTTATAGGGTTTAGGGTGTAGGTTGAGGGCTTCCGGTTCAAAGAGGTTTCTCGCGCCAGTGTCTCTGGCACAGGCTAAGGTAGTTTTGGGACCCGACTTTCCTGGACACTAAACGCGAGTTACTGTGTGCAAGGATCTGAGAGGTATGTCGGCCCAACCCAAGACTTGAGGTTACTCCCCCCCCAACCCACCCCCCTCCCCCGCCACAGCAAAAGTCTCGACCTCATTGTAGCTGTAGTAGTAGGGAAGTCTGATTTCCCCACCAGGCCACGATGACTATGGGACCCCAACTATAGATCCCCAAATAGTAGGATTCCCCTAAAGTAGGGGCCCCAATAAGGTACCCGAATTTAGGAAAGCCCCAGTAACCCTAAACCCTAAACCCTAAACCCTAAACCCTAAACCCTAGACCCTAAACCCTAAACCCTAAACCCTAAACCCGAAACCCTAAACCCTAAACCCTAAACCCTAAACCCTAAACCCTAAACCCTAAACCCTAAACCCTGGGGGTGGGGGGGGGTCGGCACCGAGTCAGTGCTTGCGTAAGGAGCGGTCGTCCACAGTGCTCAAGGTGCCCTTCGCTGCGGGCGATGGAGGGTTTTGGGCGGGTTTGGGGCGTAGGGTTTAGGGTTTATAGGGTTTAGGGTTTAGGGTTTAGGGGTTTAGGGTTTAGGGCTTAGGGTTTTCGTGGTTTGGGGCTTAGGGTTTAGGGCTTGGTGTTTGGGGGTTCTGGGTTTCGGGTTTTAGGGGTTTGGGGATTGGGTTTTAGGGGCTTCTGAGGGTACAAATGCCAAGTTCGGGCAGGTCTTGGGGGGTGCTTGTGCGCCTCAACTTGCTGCCGCCTAAACCCCAAGCCTTGCAGCCTAAAATGCGCCCTTTTGTGTGTTGCCAGGCAGTCCGGTACGACATTGAGGCCTTGCAGGACATACTGCATGCATTGACGCCCAAGGGAGCGAGCCTGCCAACAGCCGAGACGCTTTGCTTGGTTTAGGACCTAGGGCTGCACCACTGTAAACCCCAAACCCCAAACCCCAAACCCCAGACCCCAAACCCCAAACCCTAAACCCCAAACCCTAAACCCTAAACCCTAAACCCTGGACCCCCTAAAAAACCCATGATACACCCTATAAGCCCCAAACCCTAAGCCCGGAGCCCCCTCGAGCTCGAAGCCTTCGCTGAGGGCCGCTGTCCAGCGTTGCACCGCGAAGCTGGCCGAGCTGCAGCGCACCGACTTCCGCACCTTGGGTTTAGGGTTTAGGGTTTAGGGTTTAGGGTTTAGGGTTTAGGGTTCAGGGTTTAGGGTTTAGGGTCTAGGGTCTAGGGTTTAGTGTCTTGGGTTAGGGTTCGGGTTTATAGTGTCTAGGGTCTAGGGTTGGGGTTTATGGGGTTTTTGGTTTGGGGTTTGGGGTTTATAGGGTTTAGGTTTGGATGCTCTACAATGCATCAGAGGCTTTAGGGTTTTCGTAGGGGGCTTGGGGTTCAGCAGGTGCTTTGTAACATGCCTTGAGGAGCTTATGGACTTCTTTCTTGAGCAGGCTTTGAGACTGCATGATCCCACAACCGTTTAAGACTCCCCAAGTCCACCTCTGACAGCCCTGCGCCCCTCAACCGTAAACCCTAAACCCAGAAGCTCTCACCTCGAAGTCCCCCCGTCCGGAGCATCGTCACGATAGCCCAGCTGAAGCCTGTAGGGTGCAGGGTTCAGGGCTCAGGGGTAACCCGAAACATGCTCCTAAGCCCCAGACCCCTGAAGCACCTAAGCCCGAAGCCCGTAGGGCCGAGGGTTGAGGGTTGAGGGTTTAGCACTCGCAAGGTATCCCCTTCGACCCGTTCCACGTCAACGCCTGAAATCAGCTGCGTTGGGTCCTTATCTAGCCGCTCGACGACGCCGTGCTCCAGACGATCACACCAAGGACGTGAGAGCCTGTGCCCGTCCCCCTACATGTTCCAGCTACATGTATGTACATATAACATGTTATATATGTGAAAAAACAGCAGCAGATAAAATAAGTATACCTAGGCAGCAAGATAATCTACTGTATGAGGGTTCTTTGGCAGGGAGGGAAGATTTTGGTGGGGAGGGGGGGTCCGTCGGGAGCTCCAGGACTGGCGCCCGCGTCTTCGGAGTTCAATGCGGCTGCCCGCAGAGCCTTTCGAATGGCCCATCGGGGCGTGACATCTGCGAGCGCGGTTTCCTAAGCCCTGGCCTGGTGAGCCCTTTACCACCGCAATCCTAAGCCCTCAACCCTAAACCCTAAACCCTAAACCCTAAACCCTAAACCCTAAACCCTAAACCCTAAACCCTAAACCCTAAAATAGCTCAGGGCCTCAACCAAAAACCTTCTGAACCCCCCCCCCCCCCCCCAAAGCCCTCTGAGCCCTGGGAAAGCCCCGAGTTAATCCGAGCATCCCCCGACCCCTCCGATAGCCAAGGCCCCAAGGGCGTACAGCAAACTCCCGCCCCGTACCCCAAAAGGTGTGCTAAAGGGAAGCCGAGCTCTAATCACCCATAAACCATGTTCCAACTTTCTGGAGTTTTACTGTAAGCCCTAAACCCTAAACGGGTTTAGGGTTTAGGGTTTAGGGTTTAGGTTTAAGGTTTAGGGTTTAGGGTTTAGGGTTGAGGGTTTAGGGTTTAGGGTTTAGGGTTTAGGGTTTAGGGTTTAGGGTAAACCCTAAACCCTAAACCCCAAACCCCAAACCCGAAACCCTAAACCTTAAACCCTCAACCCTTAACCCTAAACCCTAAACCCTAAACCCTAAACCCTAAACCCTAAACAGCCGGGCTTAAGATTCCGAGGCCCTAGTGCTTGGGGTTCCAACTGTGTCGGGAAGAGCGTTCGCCTCTGAGAGGGCGGGAAAAGGCTAAGGGGGACTGGCTGACCCCTACCCTAGACCCTAAACTTGGCCCTAAACCCTAAACCCTAAGCTCCAAACCCTAAACCCTGAACCCCGAACCCTGGACCCTGAAACCCTAAACCCTAAACCCCAACCCTACACCCTAAGCCTCCTTTCACTGTGGGTCCTATCACCTGCAAGCGTGCCATGAGCGGAAAGTTGAGCACGTTTTGTGTTCCGGGGGGTAACCCTAAACCCTAAACCCTAAACCCTAAACCCTAAACCCTAAACCCTAAACCCTAAACCCTAAACCCTAAACCCTAAACCCTAAACCCTAAACCCTAAACCCTAAATGGGTGAGGAGTTTGGGAGAAGCTGCTGGGCTTCTGAGAGGGCCTTGCAAGATTTGGGTCCCTGCCACCCTGAGCCCTCCAAATTGGCTTGAGCCCGCTAAGTTCTCAATCCTGCCGGAACCCTACGTGCTTTAAGGGTTTAGGGTTTAGGGTTTGGGGTTTAGGGTTTAGGGTTTGGGGGTTTAGGTTTAGGGTTTGGGGGTTTAGGGTTTAGGGCTTGGGGTTTGGGGTTTAGGGTCTAGGGCTTAGGCTTAAAAGCCCTCTCTGAGCACTCTACCCGCCCATCGCTGCTCTCCGCCCCCGGGGGCTCACGAGTTGCACGGACCCGCCGACGCACCCCGCCTTGCTCCGTGACCCTCAGCGGCAGAGCCTGCAGGCCCGGCATAGTTTAGGGAGGGTGGGGTTAGGGTTTTAGGGTTTTAGGGTTTAGGGTTTAGGGTTTAGGGTTTAGGGTTTAGGGTTTCGGGTTTCGGGTTTGGGGTTTAGGGTTTAAGGTTTAGGGTTTAGGGTTTAGGGTTTAGGGTGGGGATGCGAAATCGCAGGCGTATAAGGGCTTCGGGTTCAGGCTTACAGGGTTCCGAGCTCATGAGTTGGAGTTTTGCAGTTTAGGTTACGGTTAACACCTACAGCTCAGTCAGTGTTACCCTGTAGAATCACTGGGCATATCCATCCCCTGGAGCCAGGGCGGTCATGCGGACCCTGGGTTCAACAAGGTTGCAGATTGGTTTCTTATGGGGTTTCGTTCGTAAAGGAGACTCACAAGACGCGGGCGCAATCCAAGGCTTTGTCACTTCATTTTTCCCAAATTAAGCCCAGGTGTGCGAATACACTTGCGGCACATCTTTCCTACACCCTAATGACATAAACAAATGCCCCCAAGAAGCCCGAATGAACCCCTAGAAGCCTAGTTGAACCGCACAGACCCCATAAGTCTGAATGCCAAGGTCTTAAGGCCGGGTTTTCATGAGGAATATCGAGCTGGGACACATCTTCCCCTTTTGCACCCTTGCAGGCAATGGTTGTTGCCCCGGCCTCAGACCCTTCGGCGGTTGGAGTACAGGCTTTTGGGCCGAGGGTTCCTAGGTTGGTGTCTAGGTTTAGGGTTTAGGGTGCAGGGTTTAGGGGACCCTCGTTCCCTTGTATACTCCTGAAGCCCCCAAGTAGCCCCTAAACCCTAAACCCTAACCCTAAACCCTAAACCCTAAACCCTCAAGCCCCCTGGAACTTGAAATTATTAAGAAACAATAAAAAAACGCAGCTCCTCGAAACTTTCCTCGAAACTTTCCCCGGACCTGAACCCTTAATAATTTCAATAAACCTTCAAAGAGGCGATGAAGGCCGGGACGACGCAGGGGACACCTGAGAAGAGGCCAATGCGCTCCGTCACAGAGCCGGGGGGCCCAAAGCTGAGGTTTAGGGTTTAGGGTTTGGGGTTTAGGGTTTGGGGTTTGGGGTTTAGGGTTTAGGGTTTAGGGGTCTAGGGTCTAGGGTCTAGGGTTTAGGGTTTAGGCTTTAGTTCTTTAAGGGCTTTTTAGGGGGGTCCTTAGGGGAGTGTTTAAGGGGGGTTGGGGAATCTTTCGGGGCTTTCAGATGGTTTCAAGGGTGTTTCTTATGGGGTTTAAGGGGGGGTTAGGAGGGGGGGGGGGGGCTTGGGGCTTGAAGGGGAGTTTGAAGGGCGGAATTAAGGCCTCTAAGCCCTAAACCCTGAGCCCTCAGCACAAGACCCTAAACCCTAAACCCTTCTGAGCCGGTCTTTAGGGTTTGGGGTTTAGGGTTGAGGGTTTAGGGTTTAGGGTTTAGGGTTTAAGGCGTATCATCATCATTTTTTGTCTTACCCTTGGGCTTCAAGCATACAAATAAACCCCTACCTTGGGCCATTAGGAGCCTTAGGGTTAAGGTTTCTGTCGAGCACCCCTCCCTGCCCATTGAACCTCTTAGTAGCTGAATGAGTACACTTTACACTGTTTGGGATACTATCCTCCCAATATAGAACTGGAAGTCTACACTGTTTGGGGAACTCAGCCCTAAGCCCTAAGCCCTAAACCCTAAACCCTAAACCCCAAACCCGAAGCCCTAAACCCTAAACCCCAAACCCTAAACCCTAAACTAAGACCCTAAGAGCAGCCAGGTACATCAGGTCCCCTGCCCAACTCAATCAGATCAAGTCCGAAGCCGGGAAGCAGCCTCGCCGGCCGGCGTTGACATGACCTTTTATTTATGGGCGCCCTAAGCCCTACACCCGAAACCCGAAACCCTAAACCCTAAACTGCCGATAACCCTAAACCCTAAACTGCCCTAGACCCTAAAGTCCTAAACCCTAAACCCTAAACCCGAAACCCCAAACCCTAAACCCTAAACCCTAAACCCTAAACCCTAAACCCTAAACCCTAAACAGGGAACTTCAGGAACATGGTAGTTGATTCGTAGCACAATCTGGGCACAAGGCCCCCCCCCCCCCTTCTTTCTTCTGACCGTATACCCGAGTCCCCATGTGCCGACTATTTTCCCGGCCTCGAAGAGCCCCAGCATCTTGAACCAAAGAGCTGCGGCGACGCCCTAAAAACCCTAAACCCTAAACCCTAAACCCTAAACCCTAAACCCTAAACCCTGAACCCTAAACCCTAATTATAAACCCTAAACCCTAAACCCTAAACCTAAACCCTAAACCCTAAACCCTAAACCCTGAACCCTGAACCCTGAACCCTAAACCCTAAACCCTAAACCCTAAACCCTAAACCCTAAACCCTAAACCCTAATCATCCTGAACCCAAAGCTTCCGGAATCATCCCCCTTCATCATCTCTGCCTCAATTCCCTTATGAATTCTGCTTGGCCTTTGTTCACATAGTCATAGAACCCAAGGGATCTGCTCTAATCATGGTCAGATTTCGAAGTACACCAAAGGACCATAGCATTCCCGTCCAAGAAATAGGTTCTTAGACCAGGGACGTGCTAAGCGCCTAGACCTGCAGACCCTAAAACTCTAAACCCTAGACCCTAAACCCTAAACCCTAAACCCTCGCATTCGCTTCCGTCGACTCCTCAGCAGCAGCCAGGCTCATAGCACTCTGCATCATGAGGTGAGCTGCCAGCTTGACACAAGCCCAACTCACACGAACGCGTCCTCCCCCCCATCTCCCAGAGTCCTCCCTCCAACACCACAGAGCTCCAAAAAGGGGTTTAGGTTTAGGGCTTAGGGCTTAGGGCTTAGGGCTGGGGGCTTAGGGCTTAGGGCTTAGGGCTTAGGGCTTAGGGCTTAGGGCTTAGGGCTTAGGGCTTAGGGCTTAGGGCTTAGGCTTAGGGTTTAGGGTTTAGGGTTTAGGGTTTAGGGTTTAGGGTTTAGGGCATGTCCATGCCATTTCGCTGGACGCTGCTCATCGCACTGGCCTCCGTGGGCGCCGATGCGAAGAAGCCGCAGCTTGGTCGCTACTAGAGGATCCCCAAAAAGAATGGGGGGGGGAGCAAGCCCTACATAAACCTTCAACCCAAAACCCAAAACCCCGGGACTCCCCAAAGTGCCCCCCAAAAGAAGCGATCAGTTTAGGTTTAGAGTTTAGGGTTTAGGGCTTAGGGCTTTGGGGTTTAGGGAGTGAACGGTTTCTTCCGGTCCTTGGCCTTTCAGGAACATCCTCTTCATCCTTGCGGACGACTTGGGTCTGAGCCCCAGATGCCTAGAAGAGCACTCAGCCCCACGTAGGGTGCAAACGGGGGTTTAGGGTTTAGGGTTTAGGGTTTAGGGTTTAGGGTTTAGGGTTTAGGGTTTACGAAAATAAGGGACCCCGAATATGGACCCCAAATAGTAGGATCCCCTGGTAATAAGGACCCAATTGCGGAAACCCCCATATGGGCTGTTTCCTTAAATGAAGGGTCCCTTTTGGGTACCCAGGTTAAAGGCGGCAGCCTTTGAAAAGGGATCCCAAAAAAGGACCCTAATTTAGAGAGCTACCCATGTGGTGTATGGGGTATGTAAGGTGTATAGGGGTGAAAAGGGGTGTATAGGGGTGTATCGGGTGCATAGGGTGTATAGGGTGTAAACCCGAAACCCTAAACCCGAAACCCTAAACCCTAAACCCCAAATTCTAAACTGTGTAGGGTCGAATATACCTGGATAGCTTCGGAGGTTTCAACGACGTGTCGTTCAATGGCTCCCCGCAGATCCCGACTCCCAACATCGATGACGCTCGGCTTCCGTCGCGCCTGCGATTTGGTTCCCCTTGGTATGGGGTTTAGGGTTTAGGGTTTAGGGTTGAGGGTTTAGGGTTTAGGGTTTAAGGTTTAAGGTTTAGGGGTGTAGAGGTCTAGGGGTCTAGGGGTTTAGGGGTCTAGGGGTCTAGGGTTTTAAAGGGTGTTGGGTTTTTAGGTTTATGGATTCGGCTTCTCAAATCCACGGTCCGTTTTGGGGGTACCCTCCAGTACCTGGTCGCAGGGATTGGTTTAGGGTCTAATTCTCGTTGTCTAGAGACCTAGGTCCTAAACCCTAAACCCTAAACCCTAAACCCCAGACCCGAGACCCTAAACCCTAAACCCTAAACCCTAAACCCTAAACCCTAAACCCTAAACCCTAAACCCTATACCCCCCCAAACCCCCCCAACCCCATCCCAACCCCTCTACACCTTGAAGCCTCGTTGGCGAAAGGAGATTGCGCGAACCGGCATCACGCTGCCCCTTGGCCATCCTTGTGGCCCCGTGGGCTTTTTTCCTGAGGGCCACACTATCTCTTGGTGAGGGGACATCCCTTATTTAGGACTTCGGACCTAGGACTTAGGACCTAGAACCTAGGACGTAGGACTTAGGACTTGCAGGATCTCGGACTTCGGACTTAGGACTTATAGGACTTAGGGTTGAGGTCTTCAGGCTTCGATTATACTAACAGTCCGGATAAAGGATCATAGGCGGGTCACTAGTAAGGACTGTTCGTATAAGGGGGAACATCCCAACCTGTACGCCCTAAGCCCCAAGCCCTGGCCGACGGTTCTGGGAAGAGCCGTTTTGACTTCTTCGGCAGACCTCGCGCCAAACGCGTCGTTAGGGTTCAGGGTTCAGGGTTTAGGGTTTAGGGTTCAGGGTTCAGGGTTCAGGGTTTAGGGTTTAGGGTTTAGGGTTTAGGGTTTAGAGTTTAGGGTTTAGGGTGTATGGTTTAGGGTTTAGGGTTTAGGGTTTCAGGGTTTAGGGGTAGAGTCTCGAAGCAAGCTCCCCCAGCCCCAGGAACAACTACCACGCTCAGCCCGTCTGCAGCCCGACCAGGGCGACCATCCTGACTGGCAGACATGTGTCACATACAGGTGCCGCCTCGGGTTTTGTCAGGGGCAGGAGGGTCCAAAAACTTTAGGGTTTAGGATTTAGGGTTTAAGGGCCATCAGCTGTTTGACTTGGTCAAGAGGTTGAGCAAGTAAAAGTGGCTTCGTTTTCGGGCCACGGCACGAGCCAGTTGATTCGAAGTATGAACTTGCACTTTAACAGGAGATTTAAAGCTGGCTATGTAGAGGGTCGCTATTGCAGCCACTCTTCGGCTACTTTTCGAGGGTCCACACTTCCCTGAGAAGACCCCATTTTTTCCCGTACTGGACGGAAGAAGTTTTTGGAAGCAGGCAATTGACCTGAGTGTAGGCCTCTAGAGGGGGTTTTGTCGGCGACGTGGGTGGGATAGAAGGGCAACATGGCCCTCCACAATCGGGCCATAGCTGCTCTTCTCACTTCACGAAGCTTTGGAAGCTACTCTGCACCCCTACCTTTTCAAAGGTTCTGTGCCACGTCACAGCAAAACCCTAAACCCTAAACCCTGAACCCTAAACCCTAAACCCTAACCGTAACCCAGTACTCCTGGAGCTCGAGGAAGCCCCCCGATTCTGCCAGGCGTCTTCTCGCCCTTCTTAGGGGACAGCCTCCATCTAAACCTCTCCTACTCCCTCCTCCCCAAGTTCATGACCAAGCTGGGGCACTTCGGCCTGAGATGTCTGGCTCAGGGCGTCGGGTTTCGGGTTTCGGGTTTAGGGTTTAGGGTTTAGGGTTTAGGGTTTAGGGGGCACCAGGACTTACCGGTCCCAGGATTTCTTTTGCATCCGAGGATTTGCTCATGTAGGGAGCCCCGTTCAGAACACATTCGGTGTACGACCCACGAATCAAGTGCAGCGTGAAGACGCGGCAGTTCGTCTGCTTTTGGCTGGGTTGCCGTAGAAGCGCCTTTGGTTTGAGGGGTTTGGGCGTGCCTTCACCTAAACCCTAAACCCTAAACCCTAAACCCTAAACCCTAAACCCTAAACCCTAAACCCTAAACCCTAAACCCTAAACCCCAAACCCCAAACCCCAAACCCCAAACCCTAAAACCCTAAACCCTAAACCCTAAACCGTAAACTGCGAGGTATGACACCCACATGGTTGGAAAATGGCACTTGGGGCTGTTCCAGTTGGCGGCGCTGCCGACCCACCGAGGACACGGCCAGGGCACTCAAAGCATTGAGGAGGGGTTTAGGGTTTAGGGCTTAGGGTTTAGGATTCAAGGGGGGGGAGCTTGTTTTGGCGACTTTCTTTGGCTAGGGGCCCTGGTGGTGCCCTCTTACTTAATTTTTAGGTTGCCGGGCTTATTGAAACTTCAACAGCAAAAGTGTGCGATCATGACGTGGTTACGCTGGCTGAGCCTCTCCCTGAGCTGACCCAAATCCTACAACCCTGTTGCAGACCAAGAACAAGCCGTAAGTCGCAACAGGCTTAGATCCCAAGGGGCAACCGAATACCCCCGAAACCCTGCAACCCTACAACCCTACAACCCTACAACCCTAGAACCCTAGAACCCTACAACCCTACAACTCTACAACCCTACAACCCTGCAACCCTACAACCCTACAACCCTACAACCCTACAACCCTACAACCCTACAACCCTACAACCCTACAACCTTAAACCCTACAGTCCTAACCCTACAACCCCCAACCCTTAAATCCCGAAACCCCAAACCCCTAAACCCTAAACCCTAAACCCCGAAACCCCAAGCTCCTGAACCCCGGAGTCGTCTTGCCCGGAGAGGATTCGACACCTACTTTGGCTGCCTACGCTGCAAGTTCATGCCCAGGAACCGAACTGCGAAGGCTTCACCCCCTCAACCCTAAACCCTAAACCCTAAACCCTAAACCCTAAACCCTAAACCCTAAACCCTAAACCCTAAACCCTAAACCCTAAACCCTAAAC